TAACAAGAGTTATATAAAATTGTATTAAAAATAAATATCACTACGAACATTATTACATTATGTATTATGCAGAAATATACTACGTCTTGCTTCATAAAAGTATCATTAATAATGGATCAATTTCATGTTTTCTGTTTAAAAAATGCGTGATCGTTTATACAATTTGATATATTTAAATTTCTCTCTATATACACGCGCGTGCGCGCGCGAGAGCATTTTATATTTATTGTATTACACGAAGTTCGGCAAATTCTAATCTAATCAAATTAAATATAAAGATATTGCAGTTTTTGCTTATTCTCATACACACGTATATACATTTATTTTTTTTTTATTACAATTTTTGTCATATTATGAAGGTAATGCATTATAATCACTGTGTACATTTCTAATAACATTATTGTAATTTACTCTTATTTTTCTAAGATCATTGTGCGATATTCATGTATTAAATAAATCAGGAAAAATTAATAACTACGCGCAGCACTATTTTATTTGCATATCGAAAACGTGTGAACTTTTTTATAACAGATTAAAACTTTATAAATTTATTTGTCTTATTTATCTATATATCCTAAAATTCTTATTCTTGTTTCAAAAATGATTTATGTATCGAATATATCATATTGGCAATAAGAAATACATAATACATGATTATCAAATCTTTATATCAGATATTTGACAAAAACATAACTCGATTCCACGCTTAAAAAAACGATTATCTAAAAATATAAATGTACATATATATCATGATATAAATGTGTTTATGTAATTGTTACATATACCTATAGCTATTTATTTTATTCTTATCGGATATCAATTCTCATTGGATACTTTTTAGGACTGTTACAAATTTTGAATATGAAAATATATATTAGAAATAGATTTGTATTTATGGTATATAATAATATCTGCAAAAAATTATAAAAATTGAATATTGTGGAGAAAAGAACATTTCAAATTTTGTTTCCTTCATACCTTAAACATAGTAAAAAAAATTACAAATTCTGTGTGTTACATTTTCTAAATATATTTCTTGAAAATAAGTATTATTTTAAACATTCACAGTACGGTATATATAGGCATATATAGTTTTATTTTATTTTTCTACAATCGAACATTTTCCATTTTGTCACATTTTCTTTAATTTATGTATTTATTTATACATCCATATAATTAATGAACATGGATATTGTTTTGAGTAGGAAAATATCTTATTCGATCGGAGCTAAATCTCAATGCTAAATATAATATTTCAGTATGAATTTTTAATATATACATCCAGTTCTGCAAACTGAGTGCCGATTTAATTTTCAGTTTTGAAATGTAATTCTAAAGTATACTTAAATCACTAGTATTGCTCTGTCATTATGATTTTTCGTATATTCAAAGATACAAAACGCTTAAAATATATATAACTCAAAATATATACTTCTATACTCTGTTGATTCATAATTTATATGAATCTAGATATGTAATAAGTTGGTATCATTAGAGACTGAGCAATGTTAGAAAGTCCCTTTGTGTCATTCACATTTCCCTTTGTTGTCACCAAATTTTATATGAGGTCGATTTTTTTAAACTTTGTACCCGGAAATTGTGGGGTCATTGATTATGAATTAGAAGTCAGAATTTTACAATTCAATGGCCGATCAATAATCTAAATAACTTTTAGTAAAATATTTAGTATTTCATTATTTATAAAAATAAATTATTCAGTGGGAAAGGTTTTAATAATGATCTTCAGATTCTCTGCATCTGAGAAGATGCATCGATCAACATACCTAAAAACGAAGTTTTAAACAGTTTTAAAATAATAAGACCATTTTTTTCATTTTTGATCCATCATACGATTCCGTCATTTTTTATTTTAAAATTCAGAAATTTTGAAGCGGTATCATAGTTGGATCTTATATATATTTGGGACCGTTTTAAGTACAATCTTAAGATGTCGTGAACCAATTAGAGGGCTGTATTAGCATCTTAAGACATTACTTAAGACGATCTTAAAATAAGAACCAACTATAAATACCGGCCTTGATCTCAGATTCAGTGAGCCAAAAAACCCCTAGGACATCATTATAAGAGATATTCAAACTATTTATTTGGATTTACAGTAGAAAATATCGATTTTTCCATATTTTTCGAAGATTATCAATTTATGATAAAAAAAAATAACGTACGGAAAAAAATCTGATAAAATTGTGAAAAATACTTTATTGTCTTATTTTATTTGTTTTAATTGAATACCTGAATTGTTTTGATATTGATAATAGTTTAAAAATACATTAAAAAATAATTTTAATAAAATAACATAAATTCTGACTTGTTTAGCTCTTATAGTGATTAAGCAAATAAAAATTTATGTTTATATTTTTGAAAACACTTATTCATGTTCTAGGAACTTCACGAAAACAAAATACCTACTTAATGTCAAGAAATTCATCAAAATAATTAAAAAGTAAGTGGAAAAAGGTGAGACTTTCGTGAAGCAAAGAATTAATGTAATACATATATAACACAGTTCGACAAAAATCGATTTTTTTTTCCTCCCATGAAAAATTTAAAGAGATAAATTTACATCTATTTTCTGAAAGTGTCTCGGCGTTTCATCAAATCAAGTCGTTAACGTTTTTTAAGTATCATCGAATGTTTTTTTATAACACTGTACAGCACAGGTTTCCTCCCATGAAAAATTCAAAGAGATTCTGAAAATAGATGTAAAAAAAGCATACCCGTGTCTCGGCACTGACTTTGAAAAGGACCTCGCACAAACCTTATGGAAATTGAATTTCGGTCGAATTGATTAAAAATTTGATATATTGTAGATCTTGTCGTCCTGATAAAAAGTCTCTCCACAGGCACGACTCCCTACAATGAACCGTTTGATCTCTATCTACGGGGCGTCATTTTTCAAAACGAGTTAATACTACAATATCTTATTTTCAACGAGTACGGTGCATTCCTACATCATTATTTGAACTTTCTATTTATATTTTTAAGTAAAAATTTATAAGGATAATATCGACTTGATTGTTTCCCACAAATCGGAGTTCTTGATATTATTTTGAATTCCCTTGCCTCTCACAAATCGGGGTGCTTATTTATTGTGAGTCCCCTCATCTCTCACAAATCATGGTGCTTGATTATTGCGAGTACGTTTCTTTACAATTTTCTTTTTTTAAACATAATTAAAACTTAAGAAACGACCGTATATATGAATACGTCAAATACGACACAGCGCGCCAACACGGTCAAAGTTAGACGTTTCGAATAATACACAATATATATTCTTTATTAAATCAATTTATTTCAGATATGATTGCGCGCCGATAATTTTTCAGACTTTTAATACAATCAATCTGAAACGCTAATAATCCCCCCTAAAATTAGAAAAACCGTAAATAACTTTTTTTTACTTAAAAATGTACATAGAAAGTGCAAATAATGACAGTGATGACGTAGGAATGCACCGTACTCGCTGAAAATAAGAGATATTGAGTATTATATCCATTTTTAAAAATGACGCCTCGTAGAGGTCAAATGGTTTATTATAGGAAGTCATGCCCGTGGAGGACGACAAGATCTACAACATATCAAATTTTCGGCCAATTCGATCGAAATTCAATTTCCATAAGGTTTGTGCGGGGTACTTTTCTGGGCAATAAACAAATCGACAATTACAAAGAAATTGTTGCTGAAATGATTTCGGCTTTCCATGCAATAAAAGTGAACATGTCACTCAAAATACACTTTCTTCACAATCATTTGAATTTTTTCCACCAAATTTGGGTGAATTCAGTGATGAACATGGCAAACGCTTTCACCAAGACATTGCGATCATTGAGAAACGCTTCAAAGGAAAAGACGTCAGACACATACTTGGTGAATACTGCTGGTCTGTTGTTCGTGATACAAAATCAAAATCATACAAACGACCAAAATTCTTATTATAATAATTATAATTATATTATTATTACCTATAATACAAAAATTTGAAAATATATGAAAAAAAAAGATGCTCAGAATGTTGTTTTTAATTTATTATATTGTATAATTTGGAACAATTGTAAAAAGCCAATATGAAACAAATACGATAAATACGGCTGCATAAAAAACGTTAACGATTTGATCTGATAAAACGCCGAGACACGGGTATATTTTTTTACACCTACTTTCAGAACCTCTTTGAATTTTTCATGGGAGGAAACCTGTGTCGTACTGTGTAATATATGTATATAAAATATTATATATATAAATATATATATATATATATATATGCAATATCGATTCTTACAATAAAATCTCACAACATAAAAAAGAATTTATATCTAAAGTAGAAGTATCTAGGAACAATCTCAGAAAAATACTGCGCTCTATCATAAGTTACAACATAAAAAGAATCTCTTTGGATTTGAGGTATTATTGATCAAAGATTACAATAACATACTTTCTATGTATGTGAAAATTTGTACCATTAAAAATAGTTGCAACTCTTTTATATATATGGTAAATATCACAAAAATATAAAATTAAATGATGTAATGCAGTGACAGTACATTTAAATATTATGTGTTTAAATGGCATTGCTCTTTCTTATGAGCTTTTAATGAGCCAAAATAAGAAATATATCTGATAATTACAGTCTTTAACTCTTATCAATAACATAATGTTATTACATATTCTTTTTATATCTCTTTGTACAATCTATTAATTAATTATTATTACTGTTGTCATCATTGTGTGCTACCAATACTATCGAAAAGACATTAATCTCACATACAAGGAAATATTTGTTGCAAGTTTAATCGTTCAAACTCTTATTGCACAAAAATGGAATATTATTTCAATCGTTAAAAAAAAATTCTTGCAAGATTTTTAATCATAATGCTCTATCACAGTGTGCAAAACAATTATACATATTTTGTTGATTACCTTTAATATACTTTATATTAAAATGATACTTTTTAATATTAAAAAATACATAGTGCGCCATGATAATAACTTGTATATGGTCAGCATTAATTTTTTAAAAAAGATATAAATATATATGGTAATATTAGATAAAAAATACTTGTAAATTACACGTCAGCTAAAATCCAAGAATATAATGGTCGCAACTGATGATTTAATACTCTGTATTCTAGGTTGCTCAGTCCATCAGTATCATATCTTCGAGCGCCGCTTTCCAAATTTGCGAATCTCGTAGTACTGGGAGGTTCCTTCTTATGTGTCAACATATAATACTGCGCTACATCAGGTCCAAAGCGTGTGATCTGTGGAACAAGACCAATTATATAACTTGAATTACACTTGAAAAAATAAGCATTCACACCGATTTAAATCGACGAAACCTGAAAACCCCTAGATTGTAAACGACTGTAGAAATCATCATCTTCTCCGCCCCAACCGTAGAACACATTGGAAAATCCATTTACTCTTTCAAATTGCTTCCTCGTCAACGCTATCGCGCCTCCAAACAAGCCAGTATAAGGTAGATTGTATCGAAAAGTATTTACACTGGAGCTCATATGCCTGGGCATTTTGGTGCATGCGTAGATATTGTTGGGATTCTGCGGTATCAAGTCAATATCTTGGAAAATAAAACAGTGGAAATCATTGATCTTGGTGGCCTCGGCGTAACCAACGTTGAAAAGCTTAGCGCGATTGAACTCGCGCATCGGGCTCTGCTCGATTACAAATATCCGATAGTCTAGATTCTGTGACTGCAGGAAGGGATGTATGTAATTCATAAAAATGGCAAGCTGACTCTGCCGGTGGCGATAGGGCAGTATAATAGCCACGTTGAAGAGGGGATGGCAATTAAGTGGCTTCCACTGGCCGCCTGGTAAGATACCGAGCCGACGTGCCATCACCACTGGGTCCTCCCTGGGATACTCCTCCGGATAGAATAGTTGGGAGGACCGTCTACCGCTGACAGAGATCACGCAGGAGTTGTCCCTCGGTGGGTACGATCTCTCCATTTCGCCGTAGATGTTTTCCGTTTTAATGAAGGGGTAGTGAGAAGCGAATCGTGCCGGATGAAGACAATAGCACAGCAGGAGCGTCATCGTCGCGGTGTAGGACAGTCCACGCGCGTGATTCAGGAAAAGTATCTTCAAAATACTCATCAAGTTCTTCATGCTTCTAACCTATATATGTGTGACAGACCGCCACTGATATAAACATATCAGTCAAAGGAAGTGAGTCTCTCAGACGAGTCGTGATATTTACGCTGTAATCTTTCATTATCGAACGTACATTTTCACGCGCATGCACATCTTTTTCGCAGAACAACCTCACACCTCGAGCCACCTCAAGCAGAGGTGACCAGAGGTGACCAGAGGTGACACTGGTGACAGTGGTGACAGTCTGACAGTTGCAGACGACGTTCTTCGATTTTCTTCCCTTGTTCCTTTGTATGGCCGACGTCTCTCCGAAGTCCGACTTGACTCACTTGACACGGAGTCAAAAATGGCCAGTGACATAGATATATAAGACACCTCTGGACATAAGAGACCTCCAACTCTCCCAATCTTCCACAGGAGATTGGTAATTTGGTATAAAAGTAGATGAAATCAAATGCATAAGTTAAACTCGGCAGAAACTTTCAAAAATTCATATACTTGCGTAATACTACTATTACCACTTTTTGGGAGGGGGGGGTGGGAGATGTGTCGAAGTGTGTGCGAAGACAGCGAGATAGGAAATATCGGATGTCTCTCACTTGTACAGCGTACTCGAGTGTGGTGCGCGTGCGCCGTGCACTATCTAAGTGAGAGGTAGATATTCGTCTGCACCATGGTGTGTTTTCGCCAGCGTTTTTAATTGACGTTAGCAATATAGGAGTATCACATATACGCAAAAATTAAAGCGATGCTTGACCGAAACAAGAACACTTTATGACCCGACCCTGACCGACCCCCGACCCCCCGACGGCCGAGCCGTCACAATTGTCACAAACGAGGAGACTCTGCACTAGCTGTTGTCCCTATTGCAGACGACAGAGCAGACAGCAGACTGCAGACACCAGACAGAGACGAGCGGCTGAGAATGTCAAGAGGATGATAAGAGAGGAGACGCGCACACTGTCGCGCAGTCGCGAATATTTACCTTAAACAGTTTTTAATTTAAAGATTTTAAGTTTTTCCCTTTTTGCGATAATACTTATAATAATATCTGTTCGATAAAAAAAAGAATCACTTTTTTCTCCGAGGAATTGTACTTGTAGATACCGTAAGGCGTAGACGGTAGACCACCGTAGACTTCATTTAGAAACGCGGTTTTTATTTGTTATTCAAAAAATGTTGAATATATGGTAAAAAACGCCATGTTTTGCCCATTTCATTCCAATTTATTTAAAATCCTAACAAGCCACGCAATTCTACCAATGGCATATCGCGTTCAGCGTGAAAAAATCTTTGGAATATGTATTTATGGCATTTCGGAGAGAATTTGGATGTGAACGTTGAACCGTGTAACACCTCTAACATTGTGTAAGTAAATGAATAAGTGCAGAATGCTGAACAAGAGGATTGCAAATTAATATATTGCAAATAATTTTACTTATATTCAGGTTAATTCTATAAAATTTATGTTGCAAGTATATTCTATAAGAGTCAGACATAAAACCGCAATTAATACTTTTTTATTGTAATTATAAGTAAAAACAAATTTGCGAAATATGTAAGATGTGACAATTTTTAATGAAAAAAATTTCCGTTATCGTCATAGACATGCTCAAAATAACATATTATTTTAGTGTGCAAATAATCGAACAAGTATGTAACTTGTAATAATGTAACCTTTTAATTAATTAAAAGATATATATATTTTAAGTCTTTCTTTCAATATCTGATGATGAAGAAGGATGCTGAGCAGGATACTAAGCAACAATGAGGACTTATATTGCAAGTTAGTTCCGTAAAAGTCAGATACAATACGATTAATACATTTTTAATTATAATTATATAAAAATAAATTTTCAAAATAAATTTTCAAAATAAATGTGGCAATTCTTGATGAGAAAATTATTATTATAGGTATACCTGTTGTGGTCATATACATACGATTAGAATAATTTTGTTTTCGATATAGTCGTTCAAATTGCTTTCATCATATGATTAGATTCGATAAAAAATTTTTCATGCACGAATATATATAAATAAATTTAATATAAATATACATAGACATGTATAAACGTTCATAAACATATATAATTATATATGAAATATATCTATCACATTTTGTAAAATAACTGTTTAGTATATTAAAAATAATAATAATGTGAGAGAAAACGTAAAAAATATTTAAAGGGACAATTTTTGCATTCTTTGTTTTAGAAAAAGTCAAGTTTAGAGCAATGTAAAAGAATTGCTCATATATATAATTATATATAAAAATAGGTATCACACACACACACACACACACACACACACAATTATATATGAGCAATTCTTTTTACATTTCTCCAAACTTGATTTTTTTTCTATAAGAAACAATGCAAAAATTATCCTTTTAATTATTTTTGACGTTTTTTCATTATATTGCTATTATTTTTATTATACTAAACAGTAATTTTACAACAAAAAAGGATGTATGCACATATTTCATATATAATTATACATGTTTATAAATATTTATACATATTTATGTATGTTTATATGTATTTATTTATATTCGTACATGAAAAATTTTTTACAGGATAAATATATATATATATATATATGTAGTTGTAAAAAAAATGCTAACAAGATGTAAAGATAAACAGTCCAATAAATTCAGTCAACACTTTATTTAAACCTCTGTTAATTATTAACGTTGATAATATAGCAAGATTTATATATTGATAATTCCAAATGTCATTGGAACACAATGGATAAACAGGATAGATAAATAAATCTGTAGGATATCTATATATCCTTAAATAGGACATATATAGGATATCTGTAATAGATAGGTTTTGTTTGTACGTTTGATCATGCGTACGATAATCATATATTATAGGTATACATTCGTCAATGAACCAGAATAGCACGCGGTGCATCGTTCGATTTGGTGGCCGTCTTGAATATATTCAACTGATGAAAAACATCTAACGTGTCTCGCATGAATTTATCCATCATGTCTTGAGTATGTTTCGGTGTTGGGGCTAATCTCAATTTCTCTTCGCCCTTTGGAACTGTTGGATAATTTATAGCTTGCACATAATGTCCTTTATCTCTTAATAAATAGTCTGCTATTTGACTACACACCAATGGATCTCCTATCTAAAAAAAAAAAAAGAATATCATTTTTATAGCAATAATTATTGTTTAATTATGAAGATCAATTAATTAAATCATTTAGTCGCAGCTTACTTTTATCGGAATAATGTGAGAGGGCGACGTTTCTAACGGAAGACCGGCGGCAGTAAGAATAGACTTCATATAGGCGACATTTTTCTGGTGATTCGTCCTCAATGATCTGCCCTCGTCCGATGCCAAAATCTCGACGGATGCCAAAGCTCCGTACAGGACAGTAGGCGGTAGCGAAGTAGTAAAAATAAAGCCGGCTGCATAACTTCTTATCATATCTATCAGCTTTGCGGAACCAACGATGTAGCCACCCACGTTGCCAAAAGCCTTTCCCAAGGTGCCGGATATAATGTCCATTTTGTGAAGTGCCCAATCCCTCTCGCCGATGCCAGCACCAGAGAAGCCATATAAGCCGACTGCGTGGACTTCGTCGACGAACGTTATCGCGCCGTATTTATGTGCGACGTCGCACAACTCTTCTAACGGACAGATATCGCCGGTCATGGAATGCACCGTCTCAAACGCCACAATCTTTGGCACGCTTTTGCCCACCTTCGACAGGAGCTCCTCCAGATGTTGCACGTCGTTGTGCCGGAATATATGCTTCGGCACGCCACTGTTTCTTATGCCCTGTATCATAGAGGCATGATTCCCAGCATCGGAGAAGACGTGACAATCTGGTAAAATTCTCGCTAACGTGAATAAGGTAGAGTCGTTAGCAACGAAGCAGGAAGTGAAAAGCAAACCAGCCTCTTTCTGATGCAGCAGCGCCAGTCGTTTCTCCAACATCTCATGACCCATGGAATTGCCCGAGATGTTTCTCGTGCCTCCGGCGCCAGCACCGAACTTGTCCAACGCTTCACGAACTGCGCTTATCACCGCGGGATGACGTGACATTCCTAGATAATCGTTGGAGCACCATACCGTTATGGGTCTCTCGCCCCATGAGTATTCCATAGCCACTGGAAAGTTTTCAGCCAGACGATTGACTTTCTTGAATACACGATACGAATGATCCTTCTTCTTTCGCATAAGTTGCTCGTGGAAAAATTCCTCATAAGGAAACTGCGCCTCCTCTTTTTGCTCCGTAGCACCTAGATTGATAACATCTTCCTCCATTGCTAGACTGGCTTTCTTAATGGCGTCCCGTTCTCTGGATAAGAAGGGACACTGATTTTGTATAGGCTCGGAAATCGGCTGAGACTCCTCCGACTCTGCCATTGTACTGAACAATCTTGACATTACTGGGCAATGTTGCCGGTAATTCATTATCAGGGATGATCCATAATTGCGGATGTAGTTTGCAGACAAACGGGTCAAAAATGGACACGGCATTATTCAGTCAGACGATCTGCAAGATAATTCAAAAGGTGACGAGTGTAATAAGTTTTGACACATTTAAGAGATCATCCTGAATAAAAAAATTGAGCTATATGAACACAAGTCCTGTTCTACTTGCAGTAATTACAGAATTAAAAAAATTTTGCTACTATCATATGGTGCTTTCCAGTAAGAAACACAGTGTAACGTGTAACACAATGATCATTTCATCTTTGTTTAAGGACTATGGCACACGAAAAACTTAAGGCAGTAAGACGTAAGCAATAAAAAAATCAACATGTTGGATCGGCTACTGCTTACATTACGGCCTTTTGGACTTTGTACAATGATTGGTCAATTTGCTTACTGCTTATGTTTTATTTAAGTTTGCTTAAGTGTTTTGTGTGTCATGGCCCTAATTGACAAATAACACAGATGTAATAAATGATGATTCACTGACCGTGTCAGCTGTGTGTCTCTTGCTGGAAAACACTCACTTAATCACTAAAATCACACATTTGACTAGCATCAAAACAAAAAAAAAGTAATACGAAAGAATTTATACCGATGTAGCAAATAAAATAGGAATGCACTGGATTATTGGATATCCGGTCGGATATCTGGAACAAAGCTTCCAAAAAGAAAAGGAAAGCAAGGGAAAAATAGCGATAATAATTTTCTTTTTCTCCCCAACAAGAAAAGAGAAAGAGGAAAGATGAACTGTGCAAGAAGTTGAGCTGAAAAAAATAAAATTTTGCATTAATGATGCCAAATGATGTAAACTTTTCAAGGAGCACATTAATTTATTATAATACTGAATTGTAAATAAATGATGTTTTCAATTCAAATGATTCTTCACAATTTTATTTTTAAATATTTCTCAAATGTTACTTCCTAGTAAAAACCAACTAACAGTAAACACATAACATCAATGTTGTAATTTCATACTCAATAATATCAAGGCAATATAACAAATTGTCATACATAAATGTTATACGTAACAGTTACATTGTTGAGTATAAAATCATAACATTGATGCTACGTTACTATTAATTATTAGCGTTTGCTAGCAGCAAAATTTTAAAACTTCTGTAATTACGTAAATGTTGAGAATAAGATCTATGTTGTAGTATGAGACTTTTTACTCAGGATAATCTCCCAAACATCCTGATAAAATTTGTTGTACTCGACTTACTTCTCAATTCATCATTCTGTACATACAGTATACGATATATTAAGTTAAGTGAAAATCAGCAAATACATAACGTTATGCAAATACTTGAACAATAATCTATAATTGGCTAAGTGAAAGGGATCGAAGTGTATATGTATGTACATAAACTAAATAAATCTACAGGTGATACCGAATGTAAATAATAATAAAAAAAAAAATCCGACGGTAGCATGACGGTGTGCAATTTGAAGATTATCTCAATCCAATAATTGCAATCTCTTGGGAATTGCATAATTCGCGTGCGAGAAAACAAGCAGAGAGAGGGGGACGTTAGATAACAATTTAACCTGTCATCCTAGACTCCAAACCGAAGCTTGCAAAAAAAGTAGATGGAAAAAAACTAAATTATATTCATATCGATGGCCACATGCGAGAATGTATGGCGGAACGAAGGAAAAGGAGAAAGTGACTGTCCGTGTCTCCAGGTGGTGGATACGTTACCCTTTCCGGCGATAATGATAAGACGAGTGCTGATACCGCGTCGGGCGTACCGTTGGATCAGCTGAAAGCGCAAGTTGAGACCGAAAGTCAGGTACAGGATACAGGGAGACCCGAAACTTTCAGAAGAAAAATTCAGATTATGTGAGAACGCGGGAGAATTCAATCCTTCTACCTTCACCGATCAGCTGCGTCAGCTGCCACCGCACTAGCTCGCAACAACTCGAGAGCGAGAGCGAACCCACTACTGCCACTAGTGTCACCGGTGCGCACTGGTACGGTGATGCCACTGCCACTGAAACCAACTGAAACAGCCCAAATCAAGTGGCAAGTGGTGGCAAGTGGTGGCAAGTGCTCACTGCCCAGTCAGCCCACTACCGACAATCACCGACCGTCACTGAACAGCACTGAACAGTGACTGACAGTAGTGACGCGCACAAGTACGCATTTACGTAACGCTAACGCACGGTCGCACGTTCGCACGTTCGGCGCATGCGGCCGGGGCCCGTCGGCCCATTGTACATACACAGTGGCTACGTTTACACCGTGCATTTAGGCCGCGGCCTATACAATAGATGTCCTTGTTTAGCCTGTATATTAAACAAAGACACCTATTGCATGGGTCGCGGACTAAGCGCACGGTGTAACGTAGCCACTACTATACTAGCATTTGTAAAAACGTCGAATCGACTCGAGAGAAACAGTCGATTCAGCTGAGACGTGTTCAAACGTGTCTCTCGTCACGTCTTTCACAATGAGCGAAATTAATTCGAAAAAAAAAATTGCGAAATGTAAAAGCTATAAATACGTGTCACTTGCGCTTATTACGACGTTCATATTCTCACGTTCGAACTAATAAACGACTGATGCGAATGCAAGTGATGCAAGTACGACACTTGGCGTAAATAATATTATTGTATCGTAATGACTAATTTTTATTTCTCATGTAAAACGCGCGCGCGGAAATTTAATATTCTTGGGGCGGATGATACTGTATTATTAACTCCGGGGTAAAAAGTTTTTCATACGTAATTTATATACGTCAACTATATAAAATTATACAAAATTATAATATATAGAAAATATATATAATAATTAGGTACAATTCATTACGTAATTACATATAATTTTGTACAATCTGTCTAACTTTTATATATGGTATAATTCAGAGTTCTTCATTTCACGGAAAAGAAGGAAACGTAGGACTTTGATTGGTATATTTCGTTATGCATTACGTGTCATGCGTGCTATGCAAGAGTGTACGCTCCCCGTTTAATGTCAGTTAATGTGATATTTGATATTATAAATGAATTATTAGCGTTTTCAGAATAATTGTGTTGAAAGTCCGAAAGTTATTGGCGCGCGATCATATCTGGAATAAATTGATTTAATGAAAAATATGGTATATAATGTATTATTCGAAACGTCTAACTTTGACCGATCATGGCTTTCTTTATCGTATTTGATGTATTCATACATACGGTCGTGCTTAAAATTCTTATAATGATTATAAATGAATATATTTGTTGAAATGAATATAACGTTGTCAGATACTGTCGAAGATACTTGTTCTCTGCTATGGTATCATTATGTGGCTTATATTGGTTTCAATAATTACTGCCTATTCTTTTTTTTTAACGTTTGATTCACAATTAACAGTTTGACTAAATAAGATTAGTTTTTCAAAGATGAAAATAAGATTATCGCTGGTAGAACAATCACATTAAACGATTTCAACTTCTACATTACAAATTTACAAATTTCGATGGAACACACATATTTAAGAAAGATGGAATATAGGAACATCCAATATGTATCAAAACATATATTTTTATTCGACATCTTACCCAGATAGCAAAATGTCTGCAGTCTTCTAGCAGACTGTCAGCAAATTCGAGCAGAAAATGACGGCAGTCTGCCATCAACTGCGTCCGCATTAGACTTGTGTTCTGTTAACATCGCCTATCGGCGCGACATAATGTGAAGGCAAACTGTTGGCAGAAACTGAGCAGATCCTGCCGATATTATCTGATTTTGTTATGTTTTTTCTAGCAGTCTGTCGACAGTATTATGTACATCTAATTCTGTAACAATACCGTTGCTATTTTGTTGGCATAGTGTGTAGCATGGTGGAAATACGTAAGGTGAGCTGTTCCCGTGGATGCGCAGTAGGAGAATGAATTTGGACAATATTTGATTGGTTATTCCAGTATAACCAGCGCTATTATACATCAGAAAGTACATGTTGGAACACATTTGATTGGTTATTTCCAGTATTGCTACCGCCATTATGCGCAATAGCTCACCTTACGTATTTCCACTATGGTGTGTAGCGTGACATTTAAAAAATCTGCTTTCTGCAGACTTGGCTGCAGAATCTGGGTTATGTAACATTGTAATTCTTTTTAATTCGTTTTAACATTGAGACCCGATCGGGGTCGAAACGTTTGTTATTGTACTTCTTTATATTTATTCCTGAATATTAAATGTTCTTAATTTGATTTAACTGGCTCATATAGTCCTTCTATTTATAATTTATATATATTTGTATTTTTGTAATCGTCGGTAAAAAACTTTTAGACGTGAATTTTCCTTGAAATCTGTAAGAAACGAAAGACGTGCTGCATATTAATAACATTTAATGTATATCAGACATCAAATGATGATACTTAAAAATCAAAAAGATATGTAAACTAACCTTCGTACTATATAATGGCTGCGTTCAGCAGAGAAAGCAGCTTTGCAACTGTTGTAAAATTCTTCAATATGATTGGTTTATACATTTAGATCTGTCAGGAACCAAAAGCAAGAACCAATCGTATTGAAGAATTTTACAACAGTTGCAAAGCTGCTTTCTCTGCTGAACGCAGCCATTGACACTGTTGCCATGTTTTGAACAATCGAAGGCAGCGTTCCGTTACACGCATGATGCATCTTGTTATTCACGGAATATTAAACAAGGATAAATGATGCATTATGCACATCATGCGTGAAACCACGTGAAACGGAACGCAGCCGAAGTGTAGTGGTTATGTAGCCCATTCGGAATTTTGTGTTGCTTTATCGTTAATATCTTGATAACGGGTTAGTAAATCGATATGAATTTTTTTTAAACGTTGGTCAGTATTTTATTTACTCACAAACAAATATTTTCAGAATATTGGCCATGTTGCTTCTTTATAATTTTGCTGATATAAGTGGGAATATGCTGTTGCTCGGTGAAAATAAATCGTTAAAATCGCTAAAATCGCTGAAAATCGCTAAAATCTATCGTTAATATCAATTAACCCATTTCAGTATGAAATATATTAAAACCCAAGTAGCAAAGTTCGTCATTTTGACCAACTTTTCAAATTCAAGTTATGTTTGTACAAATGGTTTGGTCAAGTGACCAAAAAGTGACCACAGGATTGCGTTCAGGAATTACGCCCAGATAACTCTGAGCTATAGGTTACGTTACGTACAATATATTAGCAAAAATGCACCCTAGAGTTATCTAGACGTAATTTCTGAACGTAGCCCAGGTTTTATCATGGTGTAATAAAGCTTAAAGCTGGTTCTACATTAGTCGCAAGCGTTGCGGTCCAATCAACATCAATCTAGCTCTCACTCTGATTGGACCACAACGGTTGCGACACGCTTGCGACACTGCGATGCGACTAATGTAGAATCAGCTTTATAGGTCCATGCGTACGCTGGCTCCATGGGACTTCACCTTTAAACTCGTCTGCTAAATATACAGCGGTTATAGGTCCATGCTATTAACACGTACCCGCGTCCCACATGAAGGTCATGGCACATAAAAAAACTTATTTAAACTTAAGACTTAGGCCAGTATTCATAGTCGATTCTTATTTCAAGACCGTCTTAAGTAGTGTCTTAAGACGCTAATGCGACTTTCTGATTGGTTCATGACACCTCAAGGCTGAACTTACGACGGAATACGGGCAAAGTTTTTTTATGTGCCATGACCTTGGGTGCGTTCGGGGAGACACTATTCGCGCTATTTAGCACTAAAAACCGTTCGCGGAGCTGCAGATAGCGATAACAAACACGATCATGACGTCATTGATAGCGTGTTACGTCACAACTGCGCGCTATCAACGCCATTCCTTCCGAGGTAGTGTATTGATAGCGTTAGCGTTTTCAAGCTCTGTGAACAGCACTGCTGTATTGTCGCACATAGGTCGAATGTTTCAACAATCGTTATAGATTATATATAAAAGTAAGAAAATGGCCCAATAATTTCAAATCAATAATAATAAAATCGAAGGGCTACGAGCCAAAAATTAAAACTTTAATATTCAACGAAAAAATACAAACATTATGTTTCGACACCGATCGGGTCATTATCAATGTAATAAATATAAATATAAATATAAAAACAAATTTTAAACGAGTGACATACTTTGGCGGTTATAAAAAAAATAGAAATGATTGGAAATGCTGTCTATTCGTCGATGATACATAGTATTAAAGTATCCTGTCTCATGCGCAACGTTAGTTATCCGAAAATATTAGTCATGTGCGGAATTTTCTGTTAATTAATTCATGTCTGATGGAAAATCATAGTTCTGTTAATGACATAAGGTATACTTAAAAAATTTTTTTCTCGAAATTACAAAAAGGCAAAATAAGTATAAAGTTATACATTAATCATAATTAAGATATAAAGATACACTAATGTATAAAAAACTATGTATATATTATTGTGTTTCGGTCACAAACGAAATGCAAGTTTATACATAAAATAAAAGAATATTTACCTAAAAGTAAGTCAAGATTGAGCTGTACCAAGTCCTCATTAGAAAAATGTGGTTAGGATTACATAACATAGTCAGTAAATAAAAAGAAGACGACTCACACAGGCAAAAATACGTTAGAGTTATAAGACAAATTAATGTGACATACAAGAATAGACGTTAAGTATTGAAATGATGGAGAAAAAGGAAGAAGGTTTTATATAAAATGAGAAGGAAGGGGGGGGGGGAAGGTTAGGAAAGGGAAAGACAATGACTGAGAGAGGGAGGAATAAGAAAAGAATTAGGAGGGGGAGAGTGACTGTATGATTTGGAGATAAGATTCTGGTAAGGATTCCGTTTCCACTTGCTTATTTAGACCTTGCTTTTGTCTTTTAATGTGAACCATCTTTGAAATCAATCTTTTATTATATGAGGGTTCATTGTCTAATATTTTAACATTTTTCCAATTAAAATTGTGATTATAATTGACATGATGATCGGTGATAACTGTTGGAGAGCCTGTTTTTTTTATTAATATCAGAGATGTGTCCATGCAATCTTGTTTTCAATTTTCTTTTGGTTTGGCCCACATAACTTTTGCTTCGCAATCATCACATGAAATTTTATAAACTACATTTTGATTGGAAAGTA